CCTGGGAATCCTGTTGAAGTGCAGATTGATTAAATAGGTCTGGGGTGGGGCCTGAGGTTCTCTGTATTTCCAACAAGCTACCAGGTGGACCAGCTGCTGGTCCATTTCAACTTTGAGCAGTTGAAATTGGAGAACTATTAAATGGAGCACCTATTAAATAGCCACTCAAGATCTTGATGCTAAAAATGTTGGGAATCCTTAAGACTTAATGTTGGGCCCCATTGAAGGTATATTTACTGTGTGTGAATCTTCACCTGTCAGGCTGTTGTTTTTACTTGCCTGGCTCAGCAGAGTGATTTCAGGCACAGCCATCCCAGTCACTGATCTAACTAATGCCATTCTCTACACCTGTTAGATAATGTTATACAGACCTGGACCCACAGTGTACTTCTCTGATATTCTCCTTTCCAGATTTTGCAGAAAAACTCCTAAAGCAGCTGGAGAGCTCTAAGGAGAGGTTTGAGGTGAAGATGATGCTCATGAACCTCATCTCCAGATTAGTGGGAATTCATGAGGTTTGAATTACATTATATTTCTCCTGGCGAATATTAGAAGTAGAATTATTCCTGGTGAAAGGAAAGCAGTAGTGTGATGTTATCCCCTCAAACTATTTAAATCCATACAGTTTACAGAAGAATAAAATCTTCCACTCTAAAAATAGCTGTTTTTATCATTTTGTTTTCTTATCAGTAAGTATGGATGTTAAATTATATATATATTTGGTTTATGGACAGGCTGTTTTGTATTGCATTTTTCTACTTTGATTTTATTCAACTTTGTTTTAAATATACATTTTTTTTCCGAGCCAACATAACCCACATATTTTTATTGACTGTTATTACATTTTGCAGTTTTGTTTATCCCTTCATAGCTTTGCTGACTACCAGACCACTCTAGTAGGAGATTATCATGTTTGTAAACCTGAATTCTCTGGTCATTTATTTTATATTAAATTAGATTGCAGGACTCCTTGGTAGTGTAGTGTATATGTATTGTGTATACATATATATGGGAACATATTCCTAGACCAACTACCTTTGTAGAAAAGGAGAGATTCCTAAAAATTCAGGCCATAAAGAAATGACTATTGAAGTTGTTCCCTATCATTTTGCTCTTGTGAATAGTGCTGCTTGGAGCATCATTGAATGTATTACTTTATTAAAAAAAAAAATTCAAATAAAACAAGAAAAGTAAAACTGGCTTATTTATTGAAAATCAAACAGTATAGACATGTCAAGTTAAAAACGAAAGCACACATGAGTGAAAGCACTCATTCCCTTTCTCTAAGAAAAACTTAATAGATTGCTTTTTTCCATGGGCTATAGTTCTAAAGCAGGATTATCAAGTCAATTCCTGTTACATTTATGCAGTAATCTCAGGTCAGACCTGAATTTGAGCTTCATAGGAAAGAAAAAGTGATTCGTAATTTAAGCATGCTTTGATATATAGAGTTGTCGGAAAAGTCATGACGCATTTTTGAAATGAAAAACAAAAAATATGTCATGACTTCTCCGACAACCCAATAAATGACACCAATTTCACAACTGACTACAATTGAACATCCATCTTTATATTGAACCTAAGTATTCCCTGTTACTTCTCTGGCCCTGCTGGTTTTGCTCTGTGGCTAAAATAGAAAAAAATTTATTCTCACATGATGAACTTTGAAAAAAAACAAATGCACCTCCAAAATTTCTCTTCTTGGAAGTTAAAAGATTGCAGTTACTTTAATAACTAGACCCACACAACCTTGATTTAGGTAGCCTCCGGAGTAGTAGTGTTTTCTCACTAAAGTATGGAGCTCAGAGTAATTCTAATTCCTCCAGTGGGGTTGGACTGGTATCCAATAATGAAACCAGAAGTGTGGGTTTTTTGGAGGTCAGGTTATACTAGACATTATTCAGATTTGAATATCAATACTATGCCTTCATATAATCCCCATTATCTTTGAAGACTAAATGAGTTCTATAGCCACACCAGTTGTAAAGGTAGAAGAACGTTGCATTTTGGTTGCCTTCCCCCAACCCCATGCCCCACCCCCAGTCTATTCTGTATATACTTTATTGTTCCTTGACATAGGATAGCACAGCCTTCCTTTCCTTGGATTAAAACAGCACATTGAATTATCCTGGGGCATGAATGCTTGTTGAGAAAAAACAAAAGTAAAAAGCGATTCCCAGCTATTTGAGCTTGGTGATATAATTGCATTATGGAGAAATGAAACTCTGCAGCTTCAGTTATGTATACATTAAAATCAGTGCGTTCTTCTTTCCGCAGCTGTTTCTCTTCAACTTCTATCCCTTTGTGCAAAGGTTTCTGCAACCCCACCAAAGAGGTAAGCCAGCCACTCTCCATGTTCCTTTGGTGGTCTTGGGTTAGAATAACCATCTAGTCTTTTGTTCTGGAATTATTAAGGACAAGAGTTAGGAGTGAGGTGTGTTCTGTTTTAGAGAAGAAGAGAGAAACCCTTATGCTTTCTAAAACCTGCCATAGGTTGGTTACTTGTCTGCTCATCAACTTTAAGAAATAGTTATTTTTTGGGGGAAAAAGAATTGGTTTCTCAAAGCAAGTCTTTTGTACACTAGTTCCCCATTATTCATGGTTTTGTTTCAGTTACCCGTGGTCAACTGCAATCCAAAATATTAAATGGAAAGTTCCACAAATAAACAAGTCATAAGTTTTAAATTGCATACTGTTCTGAGTAGCATGATAACCTCTCTTGCTGTCCCATCCATCCTGCCCAGGACGTGAATCATCCCTTTATCCAGCACATTTATGCTGTATATGCTCCCTGCCTGTTAGTTCACTTAGTAGCCATCTTGGTTATCAGATCAACTGTCACAATACCACAGTGCTTGTGTTCAAGTAACCCTTATTTTACTTAATAATGGCTCCAGATTGCAAGAGTAGTGAGTGATGGTGGTAATTTGGATATACCAAAGAGAAGCCATAAGATGCTTCCTTAAGTGAAAAGGTAAGGACAGTACAATAAGATATTTTGAGAGAGAGATCTCATTCACAATAACTTTTATTGTTGTTAATCTGTGCCTAATTTATAACTTAAACTTTATCATACGTATGTACATAGGAAAAAGAAAAACAGTATATATAAGGTTTGGTACTATCTGTGGTTTCAGGCATCCACTGGGGGTCTTGGAATGTATGTCCTGCAGATAAGGGGGCACTACTATTGGACTTAAATACTAGTGGAAAATTCTAAAAAAAGAAATTTGAGCTTTTACCGTAATTCTGTAATAGATGTCAGGATTTTTATTTTCCTGTTTTTGCTGTTCTCATGTGTATACTCAATTAAAAACAACATAAGAGCAGGAAAGAGGAGTTGGTTGTTTTGCCTTTGAACTTGAACTAAGGTAGGAAGGAAATGAACCTTTACTGAACACCTAACACGAGACAAGGACTGTGCTGAGTGTTTTACATATATCATCTCGTCTACGTCTTACTTCAGTCCTGTGATGTGTAGAAAGAAAAAGAAAAAGACCAAGGGCACTCAGCAAATAACTAGCAAGTTAGAATTCACCTCACTTCTTTCTTTGCCAAAGAACTTTCCTTGTTCTTTTGTACATACTGCCCCTTTGAAGGGAGAGTGTGTGTATATATATGTCTGTCTTTATTCATTTATTTAGTGAGTTCTAGGCTGGGTACTACATTAGACGCTAAGAATTCCACAGTGCACATAAAGCAACATCCTTACCTTCATAGAGCTTACCTTATGGACGGAGATCCAGAGCGTGCTCTATATAATTTGTCTAGGTGAAAATAAGTATTTTGAGGAAAAAGGAAGCAAAGAATAAGGGCAACAGGGAATACTGGGGCAAGTTCTGTTTTAGAATACATGGTCAGGAAAGACATTTTGATACTGCCGCGATTGAGCAGGGACTAGCGGGAAGCCATGCAGGTATCTGGGGGTTGGGTATTCCAGGTAGAATAACAATACAGCAGCAAGGCCAGAATGTGCTTGCCATATTTGCGTAGTCCTGAGAGGCAGAGCAAGAAACCATGACCTTTCTGATCTCTTACATTTTCAGAAGTAACAAAGATCCTTCTGTTTGCTGCGCAAGCGTCTCATCACTTAGTACCCCCCGAGGTGAGAACTCTTATTTATTTCATCACCAAAAAGGATTTGTTCCCAAAAAAGAAAGGATTGCAATGTGGTACATGCACACTCACTGAGCTATGAGCACACTAGTTCTCTTAAATCTTCTGCCTGGATCTAGTGCATGCGTCGCAATGCCACTATTAAGTGTGTCATGGTGGCTTTTCCCACATGGATTACTGTTCTCCCTGCCCTCTTTTTAAAAAGTGAGTAGAAGAGACACTAACTCTTAAGGAGATACACAAAAGTTTAGTTACAGAAACAAAAAAAATTCACTATAGAAAGTAAAGTAAATTTGTTGTGGACAAATTGTTGAGAATTCTGATTTTGTTTAATTGCCAAATTTTATGATGTCAAGAAAATGAGTAAATTTTATAGTGATTATTTTTCAAAGCTGATAATTCCTTTCTTTGATTAAAACAGTATTTGGATTGGATTACCCTGGGTCAAAACCATATCTTCAACCCATAATGAAAAACAGTATTAAAGGAGAGCAAAATGTAATCTGAGGATGCCCAAGAAGACTGAAACCCGAAATGGAGTATTTTTTATCTCTTTCTCAGTCTTGATTCCTCTAACTCCCAAACCAATGATAGAATGCTGTTTTGCCTACTATGAATAACGTATTTATTGTTCTTCATCCTCAAATGTCTGAGTAGGTGCAGACATTTCACCAGCACTCTTCTCTTATTCCCAATTCAGATCATTCAATCTTTGCTCATGACTGTGGCCAACAATTTTGTTACGGACAAGAACTCAGGGGAAGTCATGACAGTCGGGTATGTAGAACGTGGCTGGAGGCACTGGGTATGTTTATAAGGTACTAGGTTTGCTTTACATGACCAAGATATAAGATTTCAGCTGGCCATGTGGCCTCTAGGAAAGCAGTTTAAAATACACTTCAGTCTTCTCAGGAGGTATTTGGCATTTTTATTTTATTGGTCAGAATTTTGAGGAGGGAGCCAGAGAAAAGATATTTTGTCTTTCTAATCAACATTTTGTTTTTTTACTAGCTTTAATCTTTAAAATGAGTGATTATTTGGCAATCTGAGCTTTTTTTCTCCTGTCTCCTACCTTTAATTCATATCTTCCCCCGGAATAAATGATTTATTATTGAATCACTCTTTCAGTTCAGTGGCTCTTTTGATTCATTCAAAAACACTTAATGAGTGTGAGCACAGGTTTCAGGATTGTCTAATTTGTCCTGATAGCTAAGCAGTATGTTAAGAGCTGCTTTTTATGGAATTATTGCTGGGATAACAGCCCTAAAGACCTTTAATTTTTCTTATTTGACCTAGTTCCTTCTCCCCTTAGAGCTGGGGAGTCAGTGCTGCCATTATTACTTTACAAGGAAGATACTGTTTCTTATTCCACTAGTAGAGAAAATGGTAAGCTATCTGGTACAAAAGCTCTCTCAGGCTGCGCACCCTCACATTCTCTACCATGCTGCAGTTTTAGAGACCTAAGCCCTATGAAACCCAAGTTCTCTTCCTTCTGATATAGTCTTTTTAGGAAACCTTCTTAGGTTGAACCAAATGAAATTGCTGTTTGGAGTTTTGAAATTCACTTTTTCCTTTTCTAGAATCAATGCAATAAAAGAGATAACAGCTCGGTGTCCTCTAGCCATGACTGAAGAACTTCTCCAAGACCTGGCTCAGTATAAAACACACAAAGATAAGAGTAGGTTGCATGTTATTCTTTGTAGACTGAAGACTATAGAGTGATTCATTTTTTATCTCAATAAACTCTCTGCTCTGGATTTCTAATTAAAGGTACTGTTTTCCAGATGTGATGATGTCTGCCAGAACTTTGATTCAGCTCTTCCGATCACTGAATCCTCAGATGTTGCAGAAGAAATTCCGGGTAGGTAAAGCCTGCATATGTTGATCTAAAGCAGCGGTTCTCAACCTGTGGGTCGCGACCCCTTTGGGGGTCAAATGACCCTTTCACAGGGGTCGCCTAAGACCATCGGAAAACAGAAAGATACTTACATTATGATTCATAACAGTAGCAAAATTACAGTTATAGAGTAGCAACGAAAATAATTNTCTTTGCTTCTATGTAGCTTTTCCTTGTTGACCATTTTACAAAGTAGTTTCTTCTTCAGGATGAAGGACCAACAGCAAGAGATCTGCTAGTGCAGTACGCCACGGGGAAGAAAAGTTCTAAACACAAGAAAAGACTAGAAAAGGCTATGAAAGTGCTCAAGGTGAGACTTGGATCTGGGAAATGAAGTAGGAATCTTTAGAATGCAGAACATGTGTTTTTTTTAAAGCTTTTTTTTAAAGCTTTTAAGAATTTGAAATAAAGGTATAGCATCTTTGAAAGACCTAGAAATGTGTGGTGAATTTTTAAGCACTGATTTTTTAGATGAGTAAATGTTTTTAGCTCTAGCCAAATCTGTAACTTGAATAAATTAATTTGATTAAATTTACTTTTCACTTGTTCTAAAAATGGCCTGCATTAGGTTTTCTTTGCTAGATGTATCTTAGAAGAGTAAAGATTATTTTGAAAATCATCAGTTTGGCTGTTGTATATTTTTTAATGCTTATATTTTCAATTTTTAAAAATTCTCACAAGGTGCTGATAGCTGGAATATTCCCAAGGTTTAATCTTAAAAAACAAAAACCACCTTTATTTATTCTAATTGAAAGAAAGGTTTTTGGAATGAAGTTGTTTTGTTTTGTTTTTTTAAATAGTGTGGTGAATTTGATAACAGCCTTTAGCACATAAACACATTTAATCCCAAGGGCCTCATCACTATAGTTCAAAATGTAAATGTTTTTCCTCTCCTTTTCTTTCAGAAACAAAAGAAGAAAAAAAAGCCAGAGGTGTTTAACTTTTCAGCTATTCACTTGATTCATGATCCCCAAGGTACTATAATTATGACTTCCCAAGTTCCGTGCTGGCCTGATCTCTGCCTGTTTAGCTTCCTACCTTCTGAGTTACCAGGAAGTAGAAGATATCTGGCGTTTAATAGACAATCAATAAATACTTAGTTGTTACTAGTTGCTTGTAACCTAGAAAATTACGTTCTAGAGCTGTGATTGCCGGTCCACAGCAAAATAAGAAAAATATGGAAGTACAACTCCCTCTGCAATGTATGTCTTTAATAGCACAGTAGTAATAGGGCATTGTACTTGACCAAATGAAAAATTGACAATCTTTTGTTGATTCTCTTTTTTTTTTTAATTGGTCTGTGGAAACCAAAAGTTTGGGAAACCCTATTCTAGAACACTAGTTCTCAAACTAGAGTGCATATTGGAATCACTTAGGGAATTTATAAACTACACTGGTGCTTGAGTCCTGGTTCCCAGAGACTAATTAGGACAGTGGGACTTTTAAATGCTTTCTGTACTCTACTGTACAGCAGTGTTTGCTGACCCCTCCTCTAAGTCAGTGTTTCTCAAACTTTAATGTACATATAAACCTGGGAATCCTGTTGAAGTGCAGATTGATTAAATAGGTCTGGGGTGGGGCCTGAGGTTCTCTGTATTTCCAACAAGCTACCAGGTGGACCAGCTGCTGGTCCATTTCAACTTTGAGCAGTTGAAATTGGAGAACTATTAAATGGAGCACCTATTAAATAGCCACTCAAGATCTTGATGCTAAAAATGTTGGGAATCCTTAAGACTTAATGTTGGGCCCCATTGAAGGTATATTTACTGTGTGTGAATCTTCACCTGTCAGGCTGTTGTTTTTACTTGCCTGGCTCAGCAGAGTGATTTCAGGCACAGCCATCCCAGTCACTGATCTAACTAATGCCATTCTCTACACCTGTTAGATAATGTTATACAGACCTGGACCCACAGTGTACTTCTCTGATATTCTCCTTTCCAGATTTTGCAGAAAAACTCCTAAAGCAGCTGGAGAGCTCTAAGGAGAGGTTTGAGGTGAAGATGATGCTCATGAACCTCATCTCCAGATTAGTGGGAATTCATGAGGTTTGAATTACATTATATTTCTCCTGGCGAATATTAGAAGTAGAATTATTCCTGGTGAAAGGAAAGCAGTAGTGTGATGTTATCCCCTCAAACTATTTAAATCCATACAGTTTACAGAAGAATAAAATCTTCCACTCTAAAAATAGCTGTTTTTATCATTTTGTTTTCTTATCAGTAAGTATGGATGTTAAATTATATATATATTTGGTTTATGGACAGGCTGTTTTGTATTGCATTTTTCTACTTTGATTTTATTCAACTTTGTTTTAAATATACATTTTTTTTCCGAGCCAACATAACCCACATATTTTTATTGACTGTTATTACATTTTGCAGTTTTGTTTATCCCTTCATAGCTTTGCTGACTACCAGACCACTCTAGTAGGAGATTATCATGTTTGTAAACCTGAATTCTCTGGTCATTTATTTTATATTAAATTAGATTGCAGGACTCCTTGGTAGTGTAGTGTATATGTATTGTGTATACATATATATGGGAACATATTCCTAGACCAACTACCTTTGTAGAAAAGGAGAGATTCCTAAAAATTCAGGCCATAAAGAAATGACTATTGAAGTTGTTCCCTATCATTTTGCTCTTGTGAATAGTGCTGCTTGGAGCATCATTGAATGT